GTAATTAGCCGGATAAGGCAATAAAAGCAGGAATAACAAAATTAGTAATTCAAGACAGATGTCTAGCACTGTTTTCTTGTGTTATCAATAGTTAACTGTCCTTTACAACACTGGTGAGAGTGACACAGGGTAGGATCAGATTGGTGTCCCAGGCTTCCCAGGGAAATTAAACAATTATGCGTCGAAGGGTGTCGTTAGGTGAAAGCGCTTGTGTAACACACTGATATCTAAAAATACATAGTGGGTCGTGGTTCTCATGAGCTTCTAGCTAGCCTGCTATTACAAAGGGACCTGTGACATGTAATTATGTGCAATTGAAATGCATAAAGCAGATATTGTCTCCAAGTAGACTGGCAAATAGCTAGTTAGCTGGTGTAAACAATTACCCCTGACCTATGGGACCATGGGGGGGGGGGGTAAAAGTATATCACACCTAAAAGAGTATGTGATCGTATGTAGCTTTCTGAAGCTTACCAGAAGCCCATCGCAGCCTTTAAGCTATGGTAGCATTAGAGCATGAGATGCTGAGGATGACTAACACATGGTAAACTGAAAACAAAATAAAATAAAATAAAAACATAAAGAAGCACAATGCAAAAAAGGAAAAAACAACTGGTTCAATGTAATCCACTGCATGGTTTTATAATTTCTTGCCACGTAAATCCTTGGGCTCAGTAAATTTATACCAAGGGGTCAAGTCTCTGACAAGGTGAGGCTAGCGTCCTATTATACGAATGGGATGACAGTGGAAGGTTTCCAGATCACTGATGGAGCCCGTGCACGTGGGTGGGTATCGGGTTCAGTGAGTCCCAATGCTACAAAAAATGCTTGTGTTTCAGTAGGGGACCGGAGCATGTGTGTAGATCCGTTATGGTTCACCAGGGCCGCCACCCCTAACTCAGCTCAGGGTCTGGGCCCCCTGGGGCCCGCCTACAATCCCGCCCACAGGGTCCGCCTCCAAATCCCACCCACAGGAATACACACACAGACACAAAAACACACACTGATACAAAAGGACACAGATACACACACACACACAAAGATACATACTAACAGACACACATACTGAAACAGACATACACGCATATAGGCATACGTACTGACACACACATACTGAGACATTCACACATATACAGACACACAGGCATACATAGTGACAGATAGACACATACTAACATACATACAGACACACATGCATGAGGACATACACATACATACACCGACATACATACACACAGACATACATTCATTCATACTGGCATACATACATATATACATACATTCATACAGACACTGACATCCATACACACATACATACACAGACATACATTCATAATGGCATACATTCATACTGGCATTTATACAGACATACTGACAGACATACATGCATACATTCATATATACTGACATCCATACACACATACACACAGACATACGTTCATAATGACATGCAGACATACATTCATACTGACATACATGCATAGATATAGACATACATTCATAATGACATTCATAATGACATTCAAACTTTTTAAACAAGGGGCCAGTTCACGGTCCCTCAGACACTGTTGGGGGCCGGACAATAAACAATATGAACAAATTCCTATGCACACTGCACACACACGCATAAGGACATAAATACACACACACATACTGACATACATAAATATATAAACAGACAGACACAGACATATACATACATATTGAAATACATACAGATACATACACACAGACAGACATGCATACATACACATACTGACTTACACACACAGACATACATACTGACATACATACACACAGACACACAAACATACTGACAGATACACATACATACTGACATACACACATACATACTGACACACATACATACAGACATGCTGACATACATACAGACATGCTGACATACATCAGTATGTCTGTATGTATGTCAGAATGTCTGTCTGTATGTATGTCTGTATTACTGACATACATACAGACATTCTGACATGCATACAATCTGACATGCATACAGACATTCTTACATACTAACATACACACAGACACACTGACATACACAAATACAGCTAATTTTTCTTACCTTTTTTTTTGCAGGTGGAAGGCTGTGGCTGATGGGAGTCGGCGTGGCTCCAGCAGCCTGTCTTCCTTCCCTCCCATGCGGCGCGGAGGGGAGGGAGCTGGGAGGAAGTGACTGCCACTTCCTCCCAGCAGTACTTTGCTACTGAGATTTTTTTAAAGGGGCCCGGTCGCGCTATTGCATGGCCGCAGCGTTGACCGGGCCCCTGAAGATATAGGGTCCATTGGGAGGCCCTAAGTGCGTGGGCCACCCGATAGGCCCCATCAGCATGCGGGCCCCGGTGCAACTGCACCGGCGGCAGTTCCGCCGCTACACGTGGTTGTCACACCCTGATGGCGGCCCTGTGGTTCACCAGTAGGGTGCCCTGGGTCCCCCATCGGTAAGGCACACCAGAGGATCGGAGGTGGGTAGTGACAAAGCCCAGGGTTCTGCGCCATTGCAATGTTGCTCTTTAGAGGTCATGGAAGAAGTTTAGTGAGGAGTCCTCGAAAGTCAGCGGGTTATTACCCCGTAATGCTGCCATGATGAGGCCCCTATCTGTTGTTAAGGTGCATCGAATTATGACTTCTTGCGACTCTGTGGGAGAGGATTTGGCAGTGTCAGCGATCCGGAATGTGCCATCCAGAGTAATTTTCTTGGCCATCGTTTGAGAGAGAATGGAGGTAAGCAGTCTCCAGATGTAGTGCGGCCGCTCTTTAGCCACTACCGTGACGCTTACTGACACTAGTGTTGGTTCAGCAGCAGTGTTGCAGGCCTCCGCTGGTGTTAGTTTAGTTGTTGTGGGCCTCTGGAGCATGGCTCCAATGTCCCTGTTAGGTTTTTGTCTCATACTCGAGGTGGCAGGTAATGGAGTTAGCCTGGGCTGTTCTGGCTTGCTTGGACTGTGTGCTTCTAGGTAGCTGTCGAGTAGTGTCTCCAGGCCTCATGGCGTCAGAGGTTGGTCGGCCCTTGTTTTGCACATTTGTACTGTCTCGGAGAGTACTGAAAAGGCATCTATAGGCGGGAAGGAGTCCAGATATTGATTCTTGGGTCGATAGGGCTAGATGGTGAATTGGGATAGAGCTTTTTTTAAAAGGCCTCTGAGGAGCTTTCAGAAATGGCGTCTATTCAGGTTCATGCGTTAGCTCCACCCCCCTTTGTATGTTTTTTTATCACATGCTTAAAGACTAGTCAGCAATGGCTAGTCCTTGTTCAAAATAAAGATTTGTATATTAGTTCCTTTAGGAACTCTGTGTCCTGTGTGAATTTGTTCAGGGATCCCAGTTTGGAGTCTTTATACATGTTGGCTGGCTGCTTGATCTTTGTAGACCAGGAAAAGTCAAAAGGAGAGGTAGGCCCGAGAGATGCAAGTGCCTTTGTAAAAGGAGGAACTACTCATATTACAGGCTGAGGTGTGAATACCTGCCGTGGAAAGACCCTGAAGAGGCAAAGGCAGAAGGAATGATCCCTGCCAGGAAGAACAGAGCTGCCTGGCTGGTTGGAAGAGTTCTGGAGAAACCCTTGTTAAGCTTTAGCGACTGGGTTTGAAGTACTCCAGAATCCCCTGTGGCAGAAAGCTAACCTGGTGAAGGGTACTCGGTCAGAGTACTGGAGCTCCACCAGACCCATACCCACACACTTCCTAGAAAAGGGGTACAAGATATCACAACTAAGGTTTCAAATAATTGTGTTAAAAGTCCAAGGATGAGTAGGACCTGCAAATATTACGGAAAAGGAAAGAAATGTTTTGGATTAGGACACTTGATTGTTGACCTATGAAGTAATATGATGTTAATACATTCACCTGATTTATTTAATTTGATTTAATGCCTGTTTTTTTCCTAGTTTACAATATATGTATAGTATACCGAATATATGGCGCCATCACGATTTTAAGAAATATGTATAAAGGATCCCTGTGGTTGGATGAGATTAAGCAATGTTTATCACATTGAAAATACTGTTTAACCCCTTCACTACCGAGCATTTTTTCATTGAAAAAATATTAGCATAACATTTTTGAAGCAAGGGATGCACAGCTAGCATATAAACAGAACATAACCTCACAATTTTGTGTGAAGATTGCTTTGCAGAAAAAAAACCAAATATGAAATGGTACCCAATTTTTCCTTTTACTTACTCATTCATCCTTTATATTAAAAAATATTTGAGAAATTAAACGTTTTAAACAGAATCTGAAATGTTAGTATAAAAGAAAGAAATTGATTTTTCTGACATACAGTAGATGTGACAAAAATATAGATATAAAAATGGTCAAAAACCTTGCTTATAGGTATTTGTAAGGATTCTGAAGGAATTAATAGCAGTACAGCTTATTAAAAATTTCAACAGAATTAAAAAAGGAAATTTCCATTGAGCATAATGCCCACATACAGTAAATACAGTTAAAGTTTCTCATATAAAGGTTATATAAAATTGCTATAGCAATCTGGACTACTAAAGTAGTACTACTACTAATGCTGACAGTGAAATGGTAGAGTCCATTCACTTCTCCCCTCCCTGACTGTAGGAATGTTCTCACCCTGTAAAACTTCCTGAACTGTTTGAAATAGGGGGTGAGCTGATATTTTCAGCAACTTTACATTCATTATATCAGTAACTAGCGGCTTCTGGCAGAGCAATTTGTCCCTCTAAAAGGCTTGTAATCAATCACAATTAGAGTATAAATGAGGGTGACTGAAGATTTATGGACAATATTTTATTCTGCAAAATACATAAAAATATAAAAATGTACACTCTATTCTAGTATTGGAAGGGGTTAAACACTAGCTTTTGGCGAGAACATGATTAAGAAATGGACTCTTCTTTTTCGTGTTTTTTTTTTTGTCAATCTTTCTTTCTCTTTATTGAGACATTGTGCAATAGGGTACAGAAAGGAAAAAAGGAGTTAGAACATGTGAAAAGATGGTGTTCTTGTTTTTGACACTGTGTCGTTATCACGTTTTCCAAATTTCTTGCTGTTGGGTTGGATGGCTGGGCATTGCTTCTTTTTTGGGCCCAGTGGAAAGCCGCTGTTATGCAGAACTCAACATAGTTGGACTTTTTTCGCAGGTAGAGATTTCAGTCCACCTCACTGTATTGTGATACCTATCCTGAGATACTGGTGGGGATTGAGCATTAATGTTTTTCTTTTGGTGGGAGGTAGCATAGAAGGTTTTTAACGGGTAATATAGGTGTAGGGGATGATGACGTAGAGTTTAGGCAACATAGGCATTTGTATCAGGATGCTCAGGAAGAGGGAATGGTTACTGACCATAAGTTAAAGGGACACTCCAGGCACCCAGACCACTTCTGCCCATTGGAGTGGTCTGGGTGCCAACTCCCGCTACCCTTAACCCTGCAAGTGTAATTATTGCAGTTTTCATAAACTGCAATAATTACATTGAAGGGTTAACTCGTCCTCTAGTGGCTGTCTACTAGAGGGCACTTCCGTGTTTATAGCACATGAAAAGTGTGCTATAACATCGCTGGATGTCCTCACGCTATGTGAGGACCTCCAGTGTCGCTGAAATCACCATAGGAAAGCATTTTTCAATGCTTTCCTATGAGGAGGTCTAATGCGCGTGCGCGGCATTGCCGCACATGCACATTAGGTTTACCCCGCTGGCAGCCACGCATGCTCAATAGGTCTCCCCCGCCGGATGATGTTGGCGGGGAAGGAGCGTGGGCGGGCCCTGACCCAGTGCCGAGGGGTTTTAACCCCTTCAGCAACTTGGGATTGGGGATGGGAGTGAGAGGGGACCTGCAGTGCCAGGAAAACAGTTTGTTTTCCTGGCACTGGAGAGTCCCTTTAATAAGTTTACTGTACTGTTATTTGTATTAAAAGTTCATTTGTTGTATTGTATTTATATATTTAGATTTAATTAGTCTGCATTGCAATTTAATATGTTGATATTTGTGTTGCTAAATTAATATATGAAATTTTCTGTGCCCATGTTTAATCCACGTTTAAGTAGAAGCAGTAGGATCATGTAATTCATAGGGGGAGCTTGGGAAAGGTATAGGCAGATGTAAGGAAATTAATCATTAATGTGTGTATACTGACTAGTGATGTTGTTTTCCATAGAAATAATATAATTACCAATATGGATACCCCACTCTCCTGGATCCCAGGGTGCAACGGGGCCTGAGGTTGGCAAATCCTCACAATGTGATTGGCAAAAAAGTAATGATGGTCCAGGCTCTCAAGTTCAATCCAGTGGGCAGATTTATCGGAGCAAAATAGAAACAACGTTTCGGCCCACAACAGAATAGTTGCTCTGTGAGGTAATATTGTCGATATTGCTGCAGACTTCTGTTAGAAGTATTTGTTCTGCACAGTGCAAGCAAATTTAATAATATGCTTGCACTCTGTTTCCTTGCAACTTGTCTCTGGTGTCTCTATAAATGGATACTAGGAGACAAAAGGGCCAGGAAAGAGTATTGTGCATGTGTTTGGAGCCTGCTTGTGGTATTGCGTGTGTGTAGAGTGAGCTGATTGTGGTGTGGTATTGTGTAATAAGGTCGGTTTTAGTCGTGTTGTGTTTTTGGTGTAATGTAATGCATATGTGGCTAGGGGCTGTAGAGAATGTGTGTATAGGGGGTGTAGTAAGTGTGTGCATACAGGCTATAGTGTGTGTGTGTGTGTGTGTATAAGTGATGTGGTGTTTGTAGGGGTTGTAGAGAGTGTGTGTTTGGGGGTGTATTATGTGTTTGTTTACAATGAATCTAGTGTGTATTTTAGGAATGTAGTGTGTGTGTGTGTGTGTGTGTGTGTGTAGGTGGTGCAGTGTGTGTGTGTGTGTATTTATAGGAGTCTAGTGTGTATTTGAAGGACCCAGAATGTGTAGGAGATCTAGTGAGTATGTGTATATAACGGATTCAGAGTATATAAAGGGATCTAGTGTGTGTATATATGATCCAGAGTTGGGTAAGGGTTCTAATGTGTGTCTGGAACGTAATGTGTTTAGGAGTGCAGTATGTGTGTAAGGGGTGCTGTAGTGTGTGTGTATATATATATATATATAGATCTATGTTCGGAAGTATTGTGTGTGTGTGTTTGGTGCAGTATGTATGTGTGAAGGATGCTGTGTTTGGGGGGTGCTGTGTGTGAGGGTACTGTGTGTAAGGGTGCTGTGTGTGATGGGTGTGAGAGTGCTGTGTGTGAGGTTGCTATGTGTGAGAGTGCTGTGTGTGATGGGTGAGAGTGATGTGTGTGAGAGTGCAATGTGTGATGGGTGTGAGAGTGCTGTGTGTGATGGGTGTGAGAGTGCTATATGTGAGAGTGCTGTGGGTGGGGGGTGAGAGAGTGCTGTGTGTGAGAGTGCTGTGTGTGATGTGTGTGAGTGATGTGTGTGAGAGTGCTATGTGTGAGAGTGCAATGTGTGATGGGTGTGAGAGTGCTGTGTGTGATGGGTGTGAGAGTGCTATATGTGAGAGTGCTGTGAGAGTACTGTGTATGATGTGTGTGAGAGTGCTGTATGTGATGAGTGTGAGAGAGCTGTGTGTGATGTGTGTGAGAGTGCTGTGTGTGATAGTGCTGTGTGTGAATATTAGAAGGGATTGTGTGTGTGGGGGGTAAAACATAAGCAGGCATTATGTCACTCGCACTCGCACTCAGACACCATCCCGGTCTAGCCTCCGGGAGGAACCTGGCGGAGCTGCAAGATAGAGCTCCGCCGGGTCCTCTCCCTCCCCAGCCGCATGTCTGTCCAAGTGGGCCGGTGAGGGAGATCTTTGTAACAAGATGGCGTCTCCATCCAGAGTAAAATCCCGAGATGATGGTGACATCACACTTTGGAGGAAGTGCATTAGATAAGACACTTAACACTTAAACCAATGATGTACTTTCTATGTTATCTTATGTTTTGCATATGATGTATTTTGTGCTTTATAAGAGACTTGCCGCCCCTCTAAGTAAACGTTCCAAAGTTTTTCATTTACCTGAAACCTGTGTCTCAGTGTGATTTACTTCAGAGTGCACGCACCTTATTTCAAACAATCTGAACATGGGCAGATATTCAAGCAAACACTTGGTTTGGTCTAAAACAATTTGGCACCTAATGTGGGGCTCCAGGTTGTGACCCTTTTCCCAGTCAGCCGTCCTAGAAGACACTGGGGCAGACCTGCAGTGACGGGATGGAGCTTGATCAACTCTGAATATACAGTAATGACTGCCTCAGCACCTTGCCTATATATCTTGTCCCAAAGGCTCACGGGAGACTGAACTCGGATGAAGCACGAGGCAACTATATAGCTGATCGAGCCGCCAAAGACGGACAGAAGAGTGTCCACCGAAGAAATCCCCATATTCACTATGCAGACCTAACCTATAGACCTCAAGCTCCTGAAGGAACTACAAGCAGCTGCTGATCCTGAAGAAAAACAAAGCTGGAAACAGAAAGGGGCAACCCTTAAAGACGGGCTGTACTCCAACAATCTCAAGTTCTGTTTACCCAAGAGTATGTACTCAGCAGTGGTCCAGTGGGCCCATGGAACATCACACCTGTCCAAGACCCTCATGAGATTCCCTGATCAGCATATACTATGAAGCATCAGGAATTACCTCTCTGACAAACAGCTACTGCAAATCCTGCACCTTTTGCGCCAAGTGCAACCCAGGAAGAATGGGAAAAAAAAACCAAAGCATCTAGCCAAACCTCACTATCCCTTCCAAAGAATCCAAGTTGACCACATTCAAGTGTTCTCTTCCATTCCAGATCCAGAGTCTGATACAGGCACCCAACGACTGCTTCCTGGTGATTGGGTTCTGGTTAAGAAATTTGTGAGGAAATACACTCGTGAGCCAAGATATGATGGTGCCTTCCAAGTGCTCCTAGTCACAGCCACTTCTGTTAAATTGGCCAGGAAGAACACCTGGATACATGCTTCCCACTGCAAAAAGGTTCCAGCCCCAGAGGAGGTAGACTGTCCTAAACCATGATCTTCCTGTGCATCCTTTTGCTGCTAGGCCTGATAAGGGCCCAACAAGTTGCCATTACTAAAGATGATAATGTGTTTACATTTTGGTATAACTCTTCTAACACACAAGTGGCCACTTATGCATTTGACTATTGTGATATTGTCAGCTGTCCATTTCCACAATCATTGGTACAAACTGTATACAAGGATATACCCTGCATAAAAGACCCATACATATGTGTTACAGACGACTATTGGGGATACTCCCACCTCTGATGCTCGCCTCAAGATTTCTCAAGGGCTGCACCTGTGGAACTCGCTTCCCTCCTCCGTTAGATGCTCACCCAGTCTCCACTCCTTCAAAACATTGTTAAAAACCCACTTCTTCATAAAAGTGTATCAATAAACTGTTAATAACTCCTGACTGATTCCTCTTCTGCAACTGTCACTAGTCTAATACTATCCTCACCTTTTGTGTCATTTTACCCCACTCCCTCTAGCATGTAAGCTCATTGAGCAGGGCCCTCAACCCCTCTGTTCCTGTGTGTCCGACTTGTCTGGTTACAACATGTCTGTTCATCCACCCATTGTAAAGCGCTGCGGAATTTGATGGCGCTATATAAATATCATAATAATAATAATAATAATATGACTGTAGTTCCTGGAGGGCGGCAGGTTGGAACACAGGGCCAGCCTGTGCCCTAGACAGATTGGACAGTAGTGGGGAATCCTTATTACACAGAATGACCTTACGAAAACTGGGAGGGGCGACTCCAATGAAACTTACCGTAAACATTGAAAATCCTAGCCCCGGCGATGCTGGCCAGTATGTAATGGGGATGTACTGGAGAGGAGGGGGGCTCTTATAATAAACAGGGAAGTTTCTATCTCCAAGATATGTATCAATCACCTGAGTGGGTAGCTTCCAGACATGTGGGGATTACTAACCCACTAAAACCCCACTTTCAGACCTTTAGGGACATGGTAGCCATAGCAAACCCCACATATGAAGACACTATGGCTACAGAGACAGGATTCTCTGACACTAACCTATGGCTTGAGTGGATGAGATATAATGCTTACAAACACAATAGAACTAACTGCTATGTATGTGGAGGAGCAAGACCCCACTTAGGTACTGTACCCCTAATCCTACCCCCTGACATAGAAGTGTGTTTTCTGAGTCTCTTCACTAACTGTAAGACTAACCGATCAGTGTGCTAATCATAGAAAAAGGAGTATCCAATTATGACTAAGAACCCCAAACCAGATGAGGTTATTACAATCTATCCAGGGAACTATACTTGTTATGGTATATATGGAGTTATAGCAAGGTTTCTGGGTAATTTCATCGGTAAATATTGTGCCACGTATAGCAAAGTTCCAGCTGCCTTACTGCAAAATCAGGTTAAATCCCTGGGGGACATATATTGGTTATGTCGGGATATGCAGCTCAGGACAAGGTAGGAAGGCTTATGGTGGGGGGAATGTACCCTAGCCAAAGTAATTATGCCCATACACAATTTATCTGACAGCCACCAATATGCACTTGACAAATTATATTCACATATCAGAACAAGAAGAGACACCCCTGTAAAAGGCAGTTTCGACCCCCATGTGTATAGAGATGCCATTGGAGTGCCAAGGGGGGTGCCAAATGAATTCAAGGCAAGAGACAAAGTTTCTGTAGGATTTGAATCCATTCTCCCAATCATTACTGCCAATAAGAATCTAAATTGGATTAATTATATCTATTATAACCAACAACGGTTTGTAAATTATACAAGAGATGCCCTCCAGGGGATGGCTGAGCAACTACAGGCCACATCCCAGATGACTTTCCAGAATAGAATGGCCCTAGACATGATCCTAGTGGAAAAAAGAGGAGTATGAAAAAATACTCCCTGACACCATGACATGTTGCACCTACATTCCAGACAACACAGGCCCTAATGGCAAAGTAACCCTGGCACTAGAGAAATTAGAGAGTCTCTCTGAAGAATTAAAAAAGAACTCTGGGGTCACAGATCCATGGGAAAGATGGTTTGGATGGATGAGTGGTTGGCAGCAAGTTCTGGCTCAGATAGGTGTGGCAGTCCTGGTAATCTTGATTATTCTTGCTCTCATTGTCTGTTGTGTTGTCTGTGTTAAGAAATGTTTACAGAAAACAGCAGATCAGGCCACACCAACTTTCATTCATCAAAAGATTTATGAGGAGGATTATGATAAACCCTATGCCCCGTTGCAGTCCCTCCCCACCAATAACAAAGTTACTTCATTTTAGGGATAGTAGGGATAACGTCTGTCTTTACAGGCAAAGTCTGTAGCGCGGGGGGGAGGGGAGTGGACAAACCACTGCTCGTCTTATGCGCAGCACTAAAAGAGTTCCGAGGCCTGTTGGATAGATGAGCTGAAGACTCTGAGCGACAGCTTTTAGGGACAGAAATAGCTGCTAGAAACTATTGTTAGTAAATAGTCATTTTAAGGGGGAGACTGTTATGGATAGAAATTAATGTAGGTAAAATATCTATTTACTATGTATACCTGTATTCAATAGTTACTCAAAATGGCTGCTAAAGCACCCCCTCCCATCGACCAAACACCTCGTGTAACAAGATAACGTCGCCATCCGGAGTAAAATACCGAGATGATGGTGACATCACACTTTGGAGGAAGTGCATTTGATAAGACACTTAACACTTAACCAATTAAAGATGTACTTTCTATGTTCTCTCGTGTTTTGCATTTGATGTATTTTGTGCTTTATAAGGAGCTTGCCGTCCCTCTAAGTAAACATTCCAAAGTTTTTCATTTACCTGAAACCTGTGTCTCAGTGTGATTTACTTCAGCGTTCATGCACCTTATTTCAAACAATCTGAACAGGGGCAGATATTCAAGCAAACGCTTGGTTTGGTCTAAAACAAGCTGGCCACAATTCCCTGTGTTGTTATTTTTATTTCCTAAAGCTGGCTGCCATTCCCTATATTGTTATTATTATTACATCCTGTAGCTGGCACCATTCCCTATGTTCAGTTGTTATTACATACTATAGCTGGCACCATTCTCTGTGTTCAGTTGTTATTACATACTATAGCTGGCACCATTCCCTGTGTTCAGTTGTTATTACATACTATAGCTGGCACCATTCCCTGAGTTCAATTGTTATTACATACTATAGCTGGCACCATTCCCTGTGTTCAGTTGTTATTACATACTATAGCTGGCACCATTCCCTGTGTTCAGTTGTTATTACATACTATAGCTGGCCCCATTCCCTGTGTTCAGTTGTTATTACATACTATAGCTGGCCCCATTCCCTGTGTTCAGTTGTTATTACATACTATAGCTGGCCCCATTCCCTGTGTTCAGTTGTTATTATATACTATAGCTGGGCACCATTCCCTGTGTTCAGTTGTTATTACATACTATAGCTGGGCATCATTCCCTGTGTTCAGTTGTTATTACATACTATAGCTGGCACCATTCCCTGTGTTCAGTTGTTATTACATACTGTAGCTGGCACCATTCCCTGTGTTCAGTTGTTATTACATACTATAGCTGGCCCCATTCCCTGTGTTCAGTTGTTATTACATACTATAGCTAGCACCATTCCCTGTGTTCAGTTGTTATTACATACTATAGCTGGCCCCATTCCCTGTGTTCAGTTGTTATTACATACTATAGCTGGCACCATTCCATGTGTTCAGTTGTTATTACATACTATAGCTGGCCCCATTCCCTGTGTTCAGTTGTTATTACATACTATAGCTGGGCATCATTCCCTGTGTTCAGTTGTTATTACATACTATAGCTGGCACCATTCCCTGTGCTCAGTTGTTATTACATACTATAGCTGGCCCCATTCCCTGTGTTCAGTTGTTATTACATACTATAGCTGGCACCATTCC